TCCTGCCAACCTAGCAGTTCGAAAGCAAGAAATTGCAAGTAGATAAATAGGGACCACTTTGGTGGGAAGGTAACAGCGTTCCGTGCGCCTTGGTGTTTAGTCATGCTGACCACATGACCACGGAAATGTCTTCGGACAGCGCTGGCTCTTCGGCTTTGAAACGGAGATGAGCACCGCAACCCTAGAGTCGGACTCGACTGGCTTTCGAGCAAGGGAACCTTTACCTTTACCTTTACAGAGGGCTTGGAAACATGATTACAACATTGTTGGAGTATTGTTTAAACTCTACTCCAGGGGGCTTACTCCCAGGAAAATGTTCTTAGGGTTGCACTGCTAGAAGTGCTTAATTTTATCCGGATTGCTCCTGGTTTTTCTAGGATGTTTTGAATATAGCATCTCTAATAGCGTACAACATACAGTCAGTGCTTTTTCCAAGACCCACTACTTTTCCCAAGACACTGCAAGAGTTTCTTGATACTATAAATTACACTGTCTACAAGAATTATAGCATTAGGTGCTGTTAAGTGAAGACCATATTTAATTATTTGATCTTGTCAAGGGATAACACATGTATAGAAAACCCAGTGTATTACATATTAAAATGCAGTGTCCATCTTCATAAATTATTAAACTGATGGACAGATAAGGTGTGATGAGTCAGGATGAAAATACAGATTTAACTGACAACAATCAATATATCAAGCTAATAGAGGTGTGTATATATTTTTGCAAAAATCTGGTATGTAGTCTGTGCAAAACATTGTGTGTGTGTGTGTGTGTGTGTGTGTGTAAAATGCCATCAAGTAGCAGCTGACTTGTTGTGACCCCAGCAAGAGGCTTTCAAAGCAAGTGAGAAGCAGAGGTGGTCTGCCACTGCCCTTTTCTTCAGAGTCTTCCTTGGTAGTCTCCCATCCAAGTACCTCCCTGCTTGGCTTCCAAGATTTGATATCGGGCTATACCACACTGTCTTCCCTCCCATGGAAAACATTACAATTGAGTTATTCCACTTGATTACAGTGTGACAGAAAGAGAGAAGTGGGGAGGGGAAGTTCTAACTCAAGAAAAATACAAACAAGGAAACATCCAGGTTAGGATGTGAGTTATAGGCAAGCTTTTCTACCTCTGAGTCATCCAGAAAATGGAACAAACAGTGACTAATCCTTATTAATCCTCAGAAGTGCAACTTAGTTATATATGGAAGAGTAATGCAATCTTTTAAATATCCAACATATCTTTGGGAAAGGTAAATTATATAAAACACTTTTGGATTATGTAAAATCATGCTTATATTAGAAAACAAAATATAATTTTACAAGGATACTAAATGAAAATGTAGGCCATTTATCAACTTCATTTGTACAAAATGCAATACTGCTACCTATAAAAGAAATGTATGGAATCCATGTGGGGAGATGCCAGATGGGTTTTCATAATTACTGATTTTGTAAGCCTGTAATCATGTAAAACATCTTTTTTTCATTTCCAGAGAAAGAGATTTAATAATACAATTCTAGCCAAAAGTAATCTTCCAAATAGACTTAAGGAAGTATAGTTAATTGTGAAGGTTCCTAGAGGTAAAAAGCCTGGCAGAACTGCCCCCATTAACAAGGTGATTATGTTTTCAATCTTAAGAACAGTTTCCTGAGAGTAAGCACCACTGAATAAAATGGTACATTTTATTTCACATACTGAGCAGACCTGCTTAGAATTGTTCCACGTGATGCTAGAAGAGTAGTTGCTTCTGGATAGTTTAATACTCTTTCACAGAACACTTCTGTTTCATTGCTGAGCCTCATAGCCTTGGTTCTTAAAGTGAAGGTGCCTCCAGAACAGCTGAGACTGCTTTGCCTCAGTCTATTTAAGCTGAGGGCAAGGAAGGAACCACTGTTGGATCACAAGGCCACAACCACTTGGATGGTAGATCCAGTGCCAGACCCTGCCAAATAATAAAATACAAGATAAGTCCTGGCTGATCAGGATGTCTGAAGTCAGAACACATGAAACACATGAAACTTCTGCTGGTATAAATAGGAGTCCAGGCAGTCTCCTTTTAAATGTCTATGTTCTGTTTTCTGAACCAGTGCCTGGTAGGGTTGCTGGCGGGGGTGGGTGGGAGGGGACTTGTGCCGGAACCTGGCTGTTGGGGGCAGGGCTTCCCCCCACTAGGCAGCTGGCTGGTGAAATTGGGGGATGCCCCGCTCCCACCTGGGGGCTGGCAACCCTAATGACTGGAGTCAGTAATGGGCTGGATGAGGGTGAACAAGCTGAAACTCCTGACAAGACAGAGGTTTTCTGGGTTAATGGAAAGGCAGACCAGGGACTTCAGATCTATCCTGTCTTGGATGGGATTATATTCTCCTTGAAAAGCCAGGTTTGCAGTTTGGGAGTGCCACTTGACACAGCGGTTGCTTTAAAAAGCCAGGTGGCTGTGGTGGTTTGGAGTGCTTTTTTTGTCAAGTTTTGGCTGATCTATCTGCAGTGTCCATTCCTGGTTCAGTCGGATGTAGCCACAGTGATCTATGGCTTAATTCCATCAAGACTGGACTATTGCAATGCAGTCTGTTTGGGGCTACCTGTGTGAAAAGTGTTCAGATGCTGCAGCTAGTGCAGAATGGGTAGACTGCTGTTCAGGGCCAGCTATCGGAAGCATGTGACCCTGATATTACAGGGATTACACTGGCTACCAATCCACTCCTGAACCCAATTCAATGTGTTAGTTTTGAGCTTTAAAGCCCTACATGGCTTTGGACTGGGGTATCTGAAGGACCGTCTTCTCCCCTGTGTTCCTGCCTGGGAATTATGATCACAGGGAGAAGCCCTCCGGACTGTCCCATCAATCAAAAAAGCTTGTTTAGTGGGTACACAAGAGAGGGCCTTTTCTCTTGCAGCCCAACAATTATGGAACAACCTCCCTAGAGATGTGTGCCTGCCCCCCCCTCACTTTTGATCCTTAGGAGGCAGGCAGTCGAAGACAGTTTTATTTAGGAACATATTTGATTAAGTTACTAGCAGTCATAAATTGTGGTTTTAAATTTTGTTTTTATTATGTATTATATCTATATTGTAAACCACTTTGGGGTCCATAAGGAACATAGGTGGCTAATGTTTTATCCTACACCTCATTTGAAAGACATCTCTAATTCTCTTATTGATATAATTCTACTGAGCTTTGACATATCAAAAAATGAAACCTTTCACAAGTATACTTTAGGTGAGGGTTGCCCTTTCTATCACCTCAGATTATGTTTTCAGTGATTATGTTATTGTTTATATCTTTAATTGCTTCTGGCGAAGTGGGATAGAAATTATGAAAATGAATACGTGTCAGGAATGCTCACAAGCAGGGCTCTAGTCGGGGGGGAGCTCTCAGGTACGGAGCTCCGGAAGAGAACCTCTAGGGGGCGGGGCGGTCACGTGGTGAAGCCCCGCCCCCTTCTTTACCCCGCCCTCTGCTTCGATCCTCATTCCGTTTGGGAATGAGGATGAAGCAGGAGGGTAAGTAGCCGGGCCTTCTGACACACTTCCGGTGATGTCAGGGGGTGTGGCCTTCTGTCACTTCCGGTGATGTCAGGGGGCGTGGCATATGCAAATAAGTTATGCTAATGAGTTATGCCAATGAGCTCCGGCAGCTCTTTTTCTACAACAAGACCCCTGTTCACAAGTATACTTTAGGTGAGGGTTGCCCTTTCTATCACCTCAGATTATGTTTTCAGTGATTATGTTATTGTTTATATCTTTAATTGCTTCTGGCGAAGTGGGTTAGAAATTATGAAAAGGAATACGTGTCAGGAATG